AAAAAATCTTGAACTGCGCGCCGTCCCTCTACACCTGTGAGCACCTTGTAGTTCATTTCAATCAGCTCCTCCACATGGAAGGAGCACTTGCTACCCTCCAACCGCTCCAATCCAAGCAATCTTGCCGAACTCGAACGCGGATAGATTCCACCAATGAAAGGTGATTCATAAACCTTGTGAGTGGCTGTGCAACGACTGAAGTTTGCCCAACCATCTCCTCGATAGTCGGTCGATACGTCGATCCGTGAAACAGAACATCATAATCTCTTCACTTTACAACATCAATCATCTAAATCTATTACAAAAGGTTAAGGGCAAGTCGACAACTACAAGGGCAAAGGCAAAGGGGCCAATGCATTTGGAGCGTTGAGGAAAACGTGGACCTTGTTCATTCTGACTTGCTGTTTCTTCCCAGGAGCGGCATCAGTACAATCCTCATCCATGAGCTTGATTTGATCGTCCCCAAGCTCTTCATCGTGGCCCTTGTCCATGCAGCAACTCCAAAGAATGGATACTCAGGCCGCGAATCACATAGGCAAGGGCGCTGTCGATGTGCTTCCACCTGTACAGTAGAGGCGTCTCAAATATATTCCCGAAGGCAACCTCGAGCGCCTGCCGCATTTTGAACTGGAAGTCCTCTTTTGTCTTGCAACAATTTGGCTTGCAGAAGTGTAACAAAGAACCATTGTTCAAAGGGCAGCCCCAATCATTGTTGAGCATGCTCAAAATCAACTCTTGCCCGTCCGAGTTCTGCAAATCGCTGCTGCAAAGATTCAGAACAGCTCTGTTCTGATCAACCTTTGCCGACAATGGTACTTCCACCACTTCCATCCTCACAGCTTGTCGGGCCAATGCGTCCAAGTTATTGGCCAAGCGGGAACGAAAGAGAGTCGTTTTAGATGCGTGGGCCATTCTGACAAGGTTGGTGGCTAAGCCCTCTGCGGCAAGAATAATGGGCTTCTTGGCTTAAACAACCTTGGTGGTGCGTGCAAAACGAGAAGGCCTGGCAAGATATCGAGCCATCGGTACCTCTTGTCTGGAAACGGGACTGCTCCATCCCTGCCACGCTGAGGTTGGCTGTGAGCGAATCAGTGCAAGTCACATACATCTTGATCTTGGCACGGCCAAGCATCTCCCGAGCTTCATCTCCGCAAACATGTTCCCCACGCACTTGTGAAAGCATTGACCATTTTCCGACCCGATGCAGCAAGGTTCCAGCATTAGCCTTGGGCAAGACTTGGCGGGCGCATGAAGCTGCACAATGTCTAGGTCTCTGTCTAGCTTTCCTGATCACAAGACGTTCAATCAATCCCAGCGCTTGGCACACCTTTCTTTTGCCTTGCTTGCCAGAGTTCGAGCTGGTTTTCTTGGCCTGACACAAGTGCGGGTCACTGCCATCATCCACAAGGTCTTCTGGATGAAACGCTGCTTCGATTGTAGCCTGCTGCTGCGGAGCCACCCAGGCATTCGTGTCGTCAACAATTCTAATGCCCGCGGTGTGCTTCACACAACCAGACTGCAAAAGGGAGACTAGCCCTGCGTATTGGGCCTCAACATGGGACACTGCCCCGACCTGCTTGTATCGCTTCAGCTGTGAATCGCTGCGGCCGTAGGATTGGAAACCAGCAACGGTTCCATCAGCTTGGTTGAAATAGCTGTAGGTTTGCCTTGGATTTGGGAGTGGCCGCCACCGGCTACACACTGACTGTGTTCTGACTTTGGTACTTGATGAATCGGAATAAAATGCGATTCATTACATTCAGATTCAGTTCAGTTATCGAGTTATCGGCTATCGGCTATCGACTATCGAAGTTATCGGCCAAAACACGTCCTTTGGGTCGCAGCGCTGTTTCTTCCGCAAGCCCACCTGCTAAAAGCGACACGGGCAATGTTGTGGTTCAAGGAGCTGGCCAGGCTCTGAATGCTAGCGGCTTCGCGCACCTGCTTTGCAGCTAGACCGTTCGAGACTGAGACGCCATGCTTCTTGCCACGCGAATAGTTCTTGCCAAGCTGAATGGCAGCTGGAATGACATCAGCCTGCCCCTGATTCCCCTCATCCTACCGGCGCGCCGTGCAATAAGACTTGAAGCTCCTCTCTTCTATCTATCTATCTATCTACCTAATCTACTCTAGTCACGGTTTGAAAGTTGGTTGAATCATAGAAACATAACATAACATAACTTCGCAAACTGTTTTGAAACATGTGTTATCACAAAGTCACCGGCAAAGAAAGAAACAAAGGCGGTGTCCTCCGTGCCGTCATGAAGTCCAGGTCCAGGCCCACCTTCCACATTGCTGGACACTGGCACAGTATCAGGCTGCACGGCCCTCCTGTTCCGCCGCCTGCCCCTCGAATCACTCGCGTAAATGGCGCGCATGCCACACGAAAATGATCCACCCCCTGCAACGGCTCAGAACATTGGTTTGAGCGCAGCTAACAGCCTCCGGTAAGGCGCCAATGACTTGCCAATGGTTCGACATGAAAAAAACGCCGATAACTTATCTATCATAAACTTGAGCTCACTCACTTCGGTCGACAACTTTCGGGCGGTAGCCAGCCTGGTAAACCGCACTGGCAGGGGTGGAGGAAGCGCGCTTTGCTGCTCCAGAAACGTTCTCCAAGATCACCAGCCTGCCACTCAAGCCAGCAACAACGCGCATGGCAATCTACTCGCTCGTGAAACATCGTGGTCTCTTAGTGGGTTCTTTTCGGTCTTGCTTTTTTTGTCCTCTAGTCCATAGTCTCCAAGTGTTCAGTGTCAAGAACTAAATCCAAGCAGCCGTGGACGATATTGTCTAACGTACCGACTGATTCAAGGAATGGTAAAGCTTTTTTTGCCTTGGTGTCAACTTCAGATTTCGATCCCTCTCTCAGCCCGTCCCTCAGCAACGTGTCCAGAAACACATATCAAAACGCATTTCTCATCAATCATAGTTTGAGTTTCAAGCTGCAACGGCCTCCGACTTGGATTGAAACAGCATCGAGACATCTGCAGTCTTGAACCTCGTGGTCGCCTCTTGTGAAAAAGGTTTACACGTAAAGCCAGCAATGAATGTCTTGTTGAGCTTCGTCACCGTCCATGATATTCTCCTGCCCAGGAACTACCTAAGCCTACAGCCGATGCCGCCTATGCCTATGATTCGATTCTCTAAAAGTTCCAAACATTGAAACTCAATGACCAGCTCAACTCACAGGGAACCTTTGGTAGTGAAGGTGGATCGCAGTGGCCGTTGTGCACGGCGCAGAACCCACCCAGCCTACAATGGCGCTGCAAACCTACGACGCTAGATCACTAGGTGAACTAAGTACAACAAAACCAGCCCCAACCTGCTTGAGGTCATGTTCTCAAAGCAGTGGGTCACAGCATTGTTCTGCAGGAACCACTGTCGGGTCGGCAACTCGGCGCCGCACAGACCCTAGTGATCCCTAGT